CTCGATTGAAAAAACTCGGTAGGAAAGAAGAAAAAAGGACGGAGAAGTTTCATGCTTGTGGTGACGGTTGAACGCGAAGAGCAAACGGGATTAAGAATAATTTAGTTGGGAAGACAGTTCTACCATTAAGCGGTGAGAATTTTGTAGAAGCAAGTTAAGAGTCCTCGTCGACCATCGTTTGCATCGAAGGGGGATTACTTTTTAATTACCTTGGCTGACGCGTGGGACTCGTATCGCCGCCATGTGCCTCCATTCCAGACATTTTAAGCGCTGCAATCAACGAGAAAAAATCCAGCATCAGCGAGAGAGAGAGAGAAAGAGAGAGAGAGAGAGAGAGAGAGAGGAGCACGTGCCGGAAATCGAGCGCGCTAGTTACACAAATGCGAGTCGATCGAGTGTCGCGCGCGTGAAAATTGTCTGATAAAATAACCAACTTGCAGGCAGCGGCGAGGATTCCAACGTACACGCGCCACTTTCGAACCGGTTTAATTACCATCGCGTAATTGCACGCGATTTCAATCGGACACGATGGATTTTCAAAAGTGTAACTCGCACTCGTGCGAATAAATTGCAAATGGGATATCTCTCAATTTCCGCACGAAACAAAATTGTAAAACGAGTCTTCAGATTGCTATATTAATGATTCGTGTCCTTTGAAACTGAAAATTACACTAAATAATTCTCCCGAATTAAAATTACCTTAAAAAATGTTTCACCTCAGAATTGCTATAAAAACTGATTCACTTCCATCGAAACCGAAAATTCTACAAAACAAGGCTCCCAAAAATTCCTCTCGTTCTCTTCAAAAGTTAAAATTGCTATAAAAAAATGATTCACCTTAGAATTGCTTTAAAAAATGATTCACGTCGCCAGAATGACCCAAATATCGTCACGTAAAGTGTGTCACGTGGAATGGTAATAAGAAAAAGAATGAAACGAGAGGGGGAGATCGTTGGCGGTTGTTGGAGCAAACAGACGATTCGCGCATGGTGACAGTGCCACTTCGGTTCACTATCAAGCGAAAGCACTATTCAATTTCCTGCTATCTCATCGGCGTGTGCACCCTTCCACGAGGGTTGGCCCTACCAGACTGCAGCCGGGGGATCGATGTGCCGGAACCCAAGCCCCTCAAACCCCTCGACAAAAGCACTCTGCGCCTCTCTCTCCCTCCCTCTCTCTCTCTCTCTCTCTCTCCCTCTCTCTATCTGTTTCTGTAACACTTCCGTTTTAAATACGCGCCATATTCGTGTTGTAGCTCCTTTGTCCAGGCCTGTCCGGCCGGACACGATTTTTCCATTCCGTCGACGATTAAACGCGCAAGTTAATTTCGACTTTTAACCCCTTTCTGTTTGACTTCCTGGAGAGAGTGTGCACTCGAGAGTGTCGAGAGGGTTCAGTTTTACTCGTTGGATTAAATTAAGCAGATCATTATGGGTAGTTTTGTTTCAGCGGCAAGAAGTGGGAATTTTCTTTAAAGAGAAATGGATTGTTAGCATGATAATTGGATTAATATTTATGTGGGAGATTGATATGACGGTAGAATTAAGCTTACTTTTGACTACTTTTTGTTTCACTTCCTCGGGAGTGTTGGGTTTTTAGAATCTGCGTGAAATTTCTGAGATGATTATGAGAGTTTCCAGCGGCAAGAAGTGTGAATTTCTTTGTGAAATAAGGAAGCTTGACACGATAACTAAATTAATATTTTGATTAGAATTATTTCTTTGCAAAGCTTCCTCGAGAGTGCTGAAAGGGTTGAGTTTTAGTCTCTTTAGTCTCCAGTAATAAGAACCGTAAATTTAGTAAAGCTCTAGCAAACAAATCTTGTACACAAAAGTCACACAGCATCTGCATTTGCATTAAAACAACAATCATCCGGTACATTAAACCTTATCAACTAAGCTTAATTAGCCATCAACCAAAATTTCCATAAAACTATTCGCTCGAATGTTTCCAAGTAACAAGAACCTTCTAACAAGCGTCGAAAACTTCCGCTTCTACCTCCAGCGAAAACTCCCATCGGTATACGAATCACGAGAAAGGAGAAACATCAGCATCGCTGCTCCAAACATCCTCTTTCTTCCACCTGCATCGTTCAGGTCAAGACGATCCTGACCCACATACATGTGGCTCGTTGAATAAGAATCGTCCTGACCTACAATTCGGCTGACGATCGATTTCTCGATCGGGTAACAATGATTCCCGTGAAATCGTCCAAGGATATATTCGAGTAGGTGTGAAACAAAAGATCGCGCGTGCAACGAGTCACGGCGTCGACACGTCGTCGTTTCATTAACTTCCCAAAGGGTATTTCTCTCTACTTTTTCTCTCGCTCTGTGAAGAAGAAGAAGAAGCGCGAAGCAATTTCAGCATTCGACTCGTCGAGAATTAAAGAAAGGTGGGTGAAATCGCGATTCACCTGACGCTTTTCATTATCCCGCCACTTGCCACGCTCTCTCATCACCAACCTTTATTGCTTCTGTCTCGCGTTTCATCCGGCAAAACGCATAATGATCCACGAAATGTGATACACGGTGCGCGGATAAAGGAATTCAGAGGCGCCTAGCAATTTATACGGGATCAAAGAATGCTCGAGTATAATATGTATAACGCTTTGCGATTCTCTTACGAGGTTAAAACGCGAATGAAAAGAAACAGAATGCTGTGGAACAGTTTCAAAATTACAGAATTAAACATTGTGTAACACCTTGTAACCTTAAATTAATCTGTTCCCGATTCTTTGACGTATGTAAAATTGGTAATGCAGCGATCGATGACAATTTGTTTCGATTTGGTATTTGATAGAAATTTTTTCTTTTCACATTTTCGAGAGGAAATAGAATGTCAGAATTGTTGAACATGTTTCGAAATAGACGTGAAGGGTGACTGAAAGTTTATGATGCATCTGATGCGAGTACAATGAGGCTAATCAGCACTGTGAGCAGCTCATTAACATGCAACATCGACGAGGAACGTGGATTCCGGGGTCAATTACACGCAGATTCAGAGGGTTCTATCGATACTGGAAGTATCAATGGCAGAAAATAATCTAATATATGTAAGCAAACTTCCATTCAAAAATCTGATTTAAAATTCACATTTATGAAACTGCAGAAATATCCAACGCGTACAAATTGAATTTCCAACTCTTCGTACATATTTTACACAACTTCGAAGACTTTAAAATTGAAGGAGAAAAAAATCCAAGTGCCTGAAGATTTAATTTCCAATTTCCTCTCAAATATTTTAAAAAATTTCAGAGACTTCAAAACTGAACGAGAAAAAATCCAAATCTGTACTCCAGAAAGATGGCTGAAAATTTCATTTTTAACTATTCTCAGACATTCTGAACAACTGGAGAGATTGTAAAATGGAACGAAGAAGGAGGGAAATTTTCTGTTCATCTGTGTAACACTTAAGAGGAAAATATCGAAGGGAAACTGGAAGGGAAACGTGGAGCATCGAAACGACGCGTGTTTCTCGCGAAGCCACGCAAATCGAATCGATTGATATTGTTGGCAGTGCTGTGGGGAGTTTCTCGGACTCGATTAGCCTGGCGACGCTTCCCTCCAACGACCTCCATGGGGTGGAAAAATGTAAATTTCGCAGGACCATTGGGAATATCGAATTCTAATAATTCGTTCGAGCCGCGGGATGAAATTGCACGGGCCAATGAGAGAAAAAAGCGAATTATCCAGACCCTGCGAGCGAATTTCAATGATAAAGGGAGGATAATATTCGACGACCTGGATCCATCGTTCGCATAAGCTCCGATATCCCAAGCTTCTTAGGCCTAGACGCCACTCTGCGAAGAAGAGTTTACCTTTGATGTTCTTTATTACTATCGTTCAATGGAATCTAAAATTCCAAAAAGAAACACTTATATTTCGTAAGAAATTTCAAGAAGATAATAAAAATTTCACACTTTACATTCTTATTCTTCTTCTCGCAATTCCTATAACAAATTTACCAACACCATAATTTTTATCCTCTTTACAAAACTCAATTTTACAATTTTCAGCAAATCTACTTGATAATTAACTTTATTGCTAAGTATCAAATAAAATTACAATGAAATAGATAAAAGCAAAAATTGAACGAAGTTCTCTCGGACCCTTTCAGACAAAGGATAAAAAAAAATGCATACATCGAACGTAATGTTAGTAGAATTACACGGAGTATGCGTATAATTTTCCAAGAAAAAACTTTCCGCGAAATGAAACGAGGGAAATAACTTTGCTCGCAAATTTTGTTCGCTCGCGTTTCGATATCAATGGGAACAAGAGGCGTTCGTAGAAATTCGTATTAAAATGCGTTAAAACACACTGGAAACTAACCAACGCTCAATTAGGCGTTTCTGAGTAGACACTGGTTTTAATGATACACGCGAAACAGAGATTGAATCGCGCGGAACGTTAACGAGCGCGAATGGTTAAGTGGAATCGGACACTTTTGGTCAGACCAGCCGGCGCGTCCGTAAATGTAGCTGTTTACACAACGCTTTAAACTTCTCTTCGTAGAACTAACCCGGTATAAGCCAACCTATCGAATAAACATCTGCCACTTTTCCTCCTAGTATTAACAATGATCAATATTATCATGAAAAATGAAGAAAATTCACTTTGCAATTTTTCTCCATTTCTGTCGAAATAATTCTATTCGTGCAACGATTAATTATACAATTTTGTGGCAAATTAGGATTGACAAGTGATTACAATGATTCAACAGAAAATTAACGTCTTTAGAAACTCTAATTGCGTTAAATTTTATCTAAAGAAAAGATTCTATTTCACTTCCAAAGATTTAAAAAAATTTATCTAAACAAAAGATTCTATCTCTTCCCTTTCAGCACACACTCGCGATACTTTCAAGTTTTTACCAAATATGGTGATCATTGATGCAGTTCTTTACTCATCGATGCCCAAATATGGTCAACACATCGATAAGAATTTTTCTAAGCCCGATTTCTCAAATTCCTCTGAAAGCTCGTGAAAGAATAATCGACGCTAGCCTTTTAAAATGGAAGCTTGAACGGAGAGAATCTTCGATTCCCCAACACACAAAACACTCTATTGAATAATAACAAAAAAAAAGAGAAAAAGAATAATCCCTGGTGGTATAATAACGTATATACATATACATGCACACGGTGTGCCTTGAAATATGAATATGGGAAAAAAGTACGAATAAGGGGGGAAAAGTGTTCCGTTCCAGTTTCGAATCGGTGGACTAATTTCTACGTCAGCTTCGGATCCCAGGGACGTT